ACGCCAACCGCTGGTCCTATCACATAAGCATTTTAAAGTTGTATGACATCCTCTCAATATCATCTTAAAGAGTACAGTATATTCTATCTATATGTTATTCTTACACATTTAACAAACATTTATTGAATTTGTACTCCAGGTTACACAGTGAAGTGGTTTTGGAGATGGACGGATTGTGAAAAGCATCTTTGCTGCAGAGAATTCAAAGACCAGGAGAACAAGACAGAAAATCAGGGGAGTGTTTCTAGGATATTAGAGATTTGATCGAGAAATCCCAACTGCTCACGAGGGAGGTGAAAACCAGGAGGGTGTGTCTGCAGAGGACGAGCCTGGCATCCTGGACTGTCAGACATTTAGATTATTGCCATCTTTCCATTATTAAACAGACCAGTCGCCAATATCGAACTTGATATTTAGGGGCATAGCTACTTTTTGAAATGCTATTCTTTACAATAGAGTCCCCGAAGTGGAAATTATTGCTAGTTCATTTTCAGAAGCGGTGTTCATCCCTCCCTCATTGTACTTCAGAGAGCATTAAACAAAATTAAAAAAGAAAAAAATATGAAAACAATCTCATCCTTGTGTTCATCTGCATTTCTCAGACATGCAAACGACCGGGCGCATTGTCACGTCGTTTACCTGCCATGTCTGGTCTCCCGCTGTAAGTTGTCTGCTTACATCAGCATGTTTACTGCTGGCGTTTCTCCTGTTCTCATGGGCTTTTCTGAACTCCGTATCAAAATATTAGCTCTTTGTCTATTACAGTTATTACAAATATTGCTCCCTGGTTGTTGTCTGCCTTTTGGTTTGAATAACACATGCCTTCCTGGAGTATACCAGCTCAAGGGTGATCGTACTATCGTGATCACAGAAATAAGTCACGCATTTCTCAGCCCACCTCAGCCTCTGTTGCAGAGCCTCCTGTAAGTGAGCTCAGCCTTCTTGCCTGGCTGCTGTGTATATCTAGCCGCAGGGCCCTCCCAGTGGAGAAGCTGATCCGCTTCCCTGTGGGCACCCGTATTACAGGGCCAATGCAGTTGGTGTGCAGAGAGGCCGGACATCTGTGTGTTGAGGAAGCTCTGCAGATAATTCTGACCCCCGCTTCTTCTTCTCTCTCTCTTTTTTTAAAGAATTATTTTATTTAACTTTCTTTCTTTCTCTCTTAATATTAATTTGACCAGAAATGGACAGAGTGAAAGCGAGGGTGAGAGAGAGAGAAACAGAAAAAGAGAGAGAGAGGGAAAGTGAGAAAGTAAGTCATCGGGTCTAGGACTCGAACCACAGTCAGCCATGTGGGGGTCCAGCACTCTTAACCACCAGGCCACCTGCTGCCCCTCTGACGCTTCTAATCAAGAACTCCTCGTTAAAATACAGAGCAAAATATTCAAAAATGTAAGTGATGTCAGATCCTGTGTTGAATAAGTGATGTGTAATACATCTAAAGATACAGTGACCACGTCTTTTTTTTTTTTTTGAGAGGTTTTTTTCACTATAGGGCGCGTGCGCTCACCAGACAGAGACATAGAGACAGAAAGTGAGAAATCACCCCCCAGAGGGGATGGGCACACCGCAATCCCTTCTCTTCCATTCTCCTCTCGGGGTCTTGGGCACACACGCATACGCGCCCGGCGTGAGTTTTAAGCCACCGGGTCCGGGACGCGAACCACGGTTGACTACGTGAGAGTCCAGCGACATAACCATTACGCTAACTGTTGGTTCCCCTAGTGACCACGTCTTAGCTACTGCTGCTTGTAAAAACACCGAGGTTTTCGCTGGGAGGAGTGCCTCCAGGTCCGTAGAGAGATCCGGCTGCCAACACCACTAATCTGACATCAGGCTGAGTGGACAGAAGTTCAGTGTTAGGTATGGGTGGTGATGGTTTCCACATAGTGAACTTGTAAATACTTTAATTAATAGCGAGAAGGAGAAGCCTCAGGGTGCCTGATTTTGGCACTATAGAAGAAGACACGAATTCTTGCAGACTGAGCTGCTAAAACATGGAATGACCTGCCTCAGGAGGTCAGGAGTTCTCCGTTGTCAAAGGTGCTCGCTCAGTTGGAGACCGGAGAGCGCATGGAATGGCGTCGTGATGCGACATACCAGACTGAGTCAGTGAGTCTGTGGCTACTTCATCTCCCTCTTCTAAACTCGTGACAACTGCATTCCAGAAGAACTGAGACTGGGTTAGCAAACGATTTCTTGACTTCTTATTTGAGATTCATTGACTATTCTTTCCATAGTATGCTCTAGAATTGTTTCTGGACTTGGTGTCAAGTTCAATGAGCTAGAGTTTGCAAAACCCACCTCATTCACATTTGACAGAGTCGGGGTGGGGTCGAGGTGACGTTTCTTGCTGTCGGCACCCTTTACTTGGCCTCTGCGGGGCCTCCAAGATGCCTCTTGCTCCACAGTCCGTCTAAAGCCCTCCCATGGGCTGTGCAAACGGAGTCTTCCCCTTCTCCATTGTGTACTTTCATGGTCTTTAGGACCCAAAGCAAGCTGCTGGAGAATTTTACACAAACTGCCAGTAATCGTAGTCTAAATGCTTATGAAATATGAGGAGGACCAATCAGAAGCTTGGGAAGACTTGACCTATAAGAATGTGTTAGAGAGTTTCCCCTGAGAAACAGCTGAAGAGTGTAAGATGCTAACAGTAACCCCGAAAACCAGTGGGGGGTAGGGCTTCACGAAGGGGCCCATTTCTAGCACATTCACCAGGTGCTGGAAAAACAGTCTTAGACCTTCACAACATCCTACCTGTAGGACTGACATGTGAGAGGGGCAGGGAGCTTCTGAATGCTCAGGAAAGCCACAAAGATGGCCTTCTATGGTGGTAAGAGGTTGGCTTGCTAAGGTCAGGTATGTTAGTAGTTCTTAAAGGGAGGATGTGTCTGGGAGACAGTAAGTACCTTGGGGATTTTGAATCCAGGAGGTGTCAGGTCAATTTTCAGTAAAGTCAGGAAACTAGGGATAAAGGAGGGACAAAGATGGTGGGCAAGACTTAGAAACAGGGAGGTCACCGTGAAACCAGAGAGGAGGGTGCGGTGATGTGAGTGAGGTGGGAGGAAGTTGAGAAATTATACATTTAATTATTTTTCCTCTTAGAAAGAAAATGCAAATGATGTGATGGGAATATAAGAGCTGGGTAATTATTTCATTAAAAGAAAGCTAAAAATCTATGAAGTGTTTTCTAAATACCCGATACCTATTGTAGTAGAGAGAGTTCAGTTCCCCGAAAAGATCCATTCAAGTCCTAATCGCAGGGCCCTGGAAATACGGACTTGTTGGGAGTAGTGAAGCTGAGATGAGGTCTTACTGGGTCAGGTTGGGCCCTGACCTAATGACTGGTGCTCGTACCAGAAGAGGGAAATCTGGGCACATACGTGGACAGGACACAGGAGAGAGGGTTACAGGAACACAGAGGCAGAGACGGGAGTGAGGCGTCCACAAGTCAACAAATGCCTCGGGTTGGCGGCAGCACCAGACACTGGAGAGAGGCCTGGGAAAGAATGTTCTTGTTGGTAACAGGGATCAACGCTGCCGACATCTTGATTTGGACCTCCGGCCTCCAGAACTGTGAGAGAATAAGTCATCATTGAATAAACCACCAGCTTGTGGTGATTCACTACGGCAACTGTGGGAACCTAATCAACCTGGTAGCAACTCTGGAATATCTGTGGTGGAGAATGAAAGAAAATTGAAGACGAATTTAAAAAAAAAATTGCCAATAACACAGAGGGTCCAGCCAGGATGGGAAATTAGTTTCTGCTATAGGTACAAGGGCTTCCATGAGGAGAGTTGCATCTCAAATTGTTCCTAAGTGGGTAGCTGGCATGGAGAAAGCAGGTGTTTGGAAGTTTCCAGAGCTTCAGACAAACAGTGAGACAGATTGGGAGGAAGGAAAAGGAAACGAGGGTTGGCCGTGCAGTCGTGAGTTCAGTGCTGGGTCATGGCTCCAGGCTTACAAAGTAGGGTGAGGCCTAGGGCTTTCTGGGGGCGTGACACGGCAGAGAGGAACCAGTGTGACTCCCCAAGTTGGCCTTTGTGGAAATACAATAGGGGCATTCTCCTTGGCCTTGCTGCTCAGGAATGGCTGCCTTCTGATCCTTTTACTCTTCTGCCTGACTCCTCAGCCTAAACCGACCAACATTCTCTCACCATCGAATTCTAAAATTTTCAGAACTGAAGGGCTGAGAACAGGGAGGCTGGCAGCAAGGATAAACTCTCCGTAGCGGAACATTCTGAATTCCCAATTAACAGCTGAAAGGTATTTTGTGTGTGGATTTCACCATTGTCTACATGCTCTGTACCTGGCTCAAAGCTTTCCAGGATAAAAAGCCTCCCAAAGGCCCCTGGCTCTATTGTCCACCGAGACTTTGCTGTCAGGTTTGTGTCTGGCAAGGTGACAGGAAACGGCATTGGGGATGAAAATAAGGGAAGTTGTTTATTCCAGACTTAAATCACTGTTTGCTGCCAAACCTTCCAATTCTTGTGTTTTCTATGCTAGGTATATAATTGGTAAGCATGCAAATTAGGCAGGATAATGAGCTGTAATTTCTCCGACTCTAAGGAGGGTATTCGTAATGAAAAGGGATAGTTAAGCTGATTTTTAAAGCTGCTGAATAACACAGTGGAACACATCCCGTTTTTCAGGAAGAGGAACTCATTACTTGCTTCAATTAGCACCTGCAAAAGTCTGCAAAAGTGGACGTTGGCACTTCCTGCATGCCTGGCCTGGTGCTAGTTTACGGGGTACAGAAACGGAGTCAGCAAGCTTTCCCGGGGGAAAGAGATGCATTTGGACAAGGCATTAGCAGCACTCTTGCCATGGATTTCCTGACATTTTCTTCCAAGGAGAGAAGAGAAACTTCTCTTTTTGTCAATGTCTGATGCGCCTGCTCTGAGTGTGGTTTTAGTCAGTTACGGGGTTTGTGGGTTCTGGTGTACTCCGAGTAAGCAAAGAAGAGGAGAGTCTAGACTGTGCCTGGTGCCTGCGGCAGATGTAGGGACAGCACCTACAGGCCTACAGAGCCCACAGCCTACAGCGCCCACAGGCCTACAGCACCCACAGGCCTACAGCACCCACAGGCCTACAGAGCCCACAGGACTTCAGCGCCCACAGGACTTCAGCGCCCACAGGCCTACAGAGCCCACAGGCCTTCAGCACCCACAGGCCTACAGAGCCCACAGCCTACAGCGCCCACAGGCCTACAGAGCCCACAGCCTACAGCGCCCACAGGCCTTCAGCGCTCACAGGCCCTCAGCGCCCACAGCACCCACAGGCCTTCAGTGCTCACAGGCCTTCAGCGCCCACAGCACCCACAGGCCTTCAGCGCCCACAGGCCTTCAGCACCCACGGGCCTTCAGTGCCCAAAGGCCTACAGCGCCCACAGGCCTACAGTGGCCATAGGCCTACAGTACCTACAGCACCCACAGGCCTACAGCACCCACACAGGTCTACAGTATCCACAGGCCTACAGTACCTACAGCACCCACAGCACCCACAGGCCTTCAGCGCCCACAGGCCTACAGCACCCACAGGCCTACAGTGGCCATAGGCCTACAGTACCTCCAGCACCCACAGGCCTACAACACCCACAGGCCTACGGCACCCACAGGCCTACAGCACCCACAGGCCTACAGTACCTACAGCACCCACAGGCCTACAGCACCCACAGGCCTACAGTACCTATAGCACCCACAGGTCTACAGCGCCCACAGGCCTACAGCGAGTGGACAGTGCCCCCACCCCTGTGAGAAACTCCCTTGCCCATCCAATACTGAAGAATGGAGGACACAGAGGCACAGGGCAGTGAAGCGGGACCTTAAAGGCGGTCTTGCAAGATCAGGTGTCTGATGGGCAGGCTTGCCAGCAACGGTTACAACACGCAGCTCATTCCCTAGTGCGCACGGCCCCCCAGGTCCTCACTGGCTGCGTACTATGGGGTGTACGATCTTCCCAGACATTGTTTTCTTATTCGGCATTTATTGTCCCCTCCCCTCTCTCACCTGACGGAAAGGCGCGGGCTCAAGACAAGCCTGCAGAAAAGGCCGTCAAATGTCCTGAGGAGGGGAAAGAACGCGGAAGCCTGTGTGTTGGGAGAGGAGAGTCCTGAGTGAACAAGAGAGGGGTGAAAACCTCAGACTCTGCTCCCAAGATTCTCAGTGGGGAAAATCCTTTAGAGAGTAGTGGTGGGGTGACCCAGTCAGGGCTCAGTGGCAGGGGAGGATCCCACATTCACCTTGGCAGCCTCGAGAGAGAGGAAGGCAGGCTGGCTGATCAGCTAGTCCCGCGATGGTGTGAGGCGGGTTTCAAAGGGGCTGAAGAGACTGTATCCTTAGTCCCGTATGATGGCTAAAATGTGTGTTCTGCACCCAAGATCCCGAGAGGAGAATGGAGGAGAAAAGGTTGCGGTGTGGCCACCCCCCGGGGGGCAATTTCTCGCTTTCTGTCTCTCTCTGTCTTTCTGGTGAGCTCATGCAGTCTATAGCAAAAACCTCTAAAAAAAAAAAAAAAAAGTGTGTGTTCAGTCTTTTTTTAAAAAAAGAATTATTTTATTTAACTTTATTTATTTATTTATTTTAATTAGACTGGAGAGAGAGAAAGGGAGAAAGCAAGCCACCAGGTCCGGGATGTGAACCGTGGTCGGCCAAATGGGAGTCCAGCACCCTCAGCCACCACGCCACCTGCCAGCCCCAAAAGTGAGTGTCCAGTCTTTATTCCTGACATTGAATCATAAATGCTGGGCAAGACTGTGGACACTTTCATTTTTATTTTATTTTCAAGTTTTAAAAATTTTGCTAGAGGGTGCCTACCCTCGGCAGAGACACGGAGGGAGAGACAGGGAGTGAATGTGAGAAGCATCCCTCGTGCGGGATGGCGCACTGCGGTCCCTTCTCCATTTCTCCTTCCGAAAATTTGGGTACGCGTGCACACGTGTCAGGTGTGTTTCTTACGCCACTCGGTCAGAGACTTGAAGCACCCAGTTGGCTGTTGGGACCCAACCACCTTAACCACCATGTCACCAGTGGCTGGAAATTTTCACTTGTAATAAAGTTTATTTATTTATTTATTTATTTAGTGAGTGAGTGAGAAAGAGAGAGGCCAGAACCTGCGACAGGGTCTTCCCATGTTGTAATTCTCCCCTCAGCCTTCTAGTCCAGATCATGGGTGTACATAGCACGTCTGGGTCAACCCAGCAGCTGGACCTGGGGACCACCCCTGTGGTCTCTTGTTCCACAGTGTTCCCACTGCCTGGGTCATCAAAGTTTGCTTTTGAATAAATAGGCTTCTCTCGGTACTTCACAGGGTCCTAAGATCAGCACACCTCTGGCCTGCGTGTTTGTGGAGTAGGGCTTGTTCCGATGCAGTGCTGCAAAGCCTTGCCCAAGAACATGAAGGTGAACTCTTCCACTTAGGTGGCTGAGCAGGGAGTCTGTGACAGCTCTCCAGGCAGAGTTCAGCTGTGAGCAAGCCCCAACTGGGTGGCAGCGAGCCAGGGTTCCACAGTGACTTCTTGTGGCCGTGGCAGAAGTAACAGCACAATTGGTCTGATGGGATGTTTAATTCTTTCCTGCGGTCTAGCAAAGAAATAAGACCTTGGGAGTAGGAAGGCCACCCAGATGGAGAACATCTGAATGATTCGTGTGGAACTGGGTTTGGCTTTTTGGATTCAACAGTAAAAGATTTGACTTCCGGCTAATTAGGGCATGTGCAGCCCTGCCCCAATCTGGAAAATTAGCAGAATGACTGTTTTAGCTGAGGTAGGTACAAGGGCTCATGCCAGGCACAGCTAAGTAATCTCCTTGCTGGGAGGCTTCCCACTGCACACCATCACAGAGCTCCGCTGAGCCGGCTTCCAGCCCTCACAGGTACCTTCACCGTGTGGCAGAGGGCCCAAGTCCTACCTGGGTCTCGAATCTGCAAACCACGAGCTCTAAATATGATCCTTGCTCTCGGTGGTAAGAACAAGGTACTTGAGATGGGGATTTCCAAGGGACACTGCTTATTCATACCTGCTTGTCCGCTCACAGAAAGAAAAAGTTGTGCTGTGGGTGCGGGTTTGTCTCACTGCCTCGCTGTAATGACTAGAATCGGGTAACTTTGGAATCGGGGCTTCCTGCTACCACTCCTTTGAGCTCTCTTTATTTTGTGCTCTGTGCCCACTAAAAAGGACAAATTAAATATAATATCTGGCTCTGTGCTATTTTTAGCCTCCTTGGGCCAATATCCATCATTCTCATTGGCTGCTAGCTCTCTTTTTCTCACCTCTTCTCTTAACTGCAGGAAGATGATAATTAGAAGTTATGCAATGCTTCTGCTAAGTGGGTTTCTCACACCAGACCGCTGCATTTCTTTTTGAGGTGAAAGCTTATGGTTGGGGTAAAAACAAAAACAACAATAAAAAACATTGGCTCTCTATTTTCCTTCAGTATCAAACCTCCAACCACCTCAACTGAAATCATGAAAGAAATCACCGCATCCAGGACCCGGTGGCTTAAAACTCACGCCGGGCGCGTGTGCGTGCGTGCCCAAGATCCCGAGAGGAGAATGGAGGAGAAGGGATTGCGACATGGCCATCCCCCCTGGCGGGTGATTTCTCGCTTTCTGTCTCTGTGTCTCTCTCTGTCTGTCTGGCAAGTGCACGCGCCCTATAGCAAAAACCTCTCAAAAAAAAAAAAAAAGAAGAATCAGGGAAGCTTCTAAAATCACTGTTCAGAATATCTTGTTCTTTTTATTATTTTTTTATTTTTATTTTTTAGAGATTTTTGCTATAGGGCGCGTGCACTTGCCAGACAGACAGAGAGAGACAGAGAGACAGAAATCCCCCCCCGGGGGATGGCCACGCCACAATCCCTTCTCCTCCATTCTCCTCTGGGATCTTGGGCACGCACGCACACGCGCCCGGTGTGAGTTTTAAGCCACCAGGTCCGGGACGTGAACCACGGTCAACTACATGGGAGTCCAGAGACATAGCCATTACGCTAACTGCTGGTCCCAGAATATCTTGTTCTTTTTAAAATTATTTATTATTATTATTTTTTAATCTGTTATAGGACATGTGTGCTCACCAGAGAGAGACAGTGAGAGAAAAAGAGGGAAAGTAAGAAAGCAAGCAGCCAGGTCTGGGCCTCGAACTGAAGTTGGCCATGTAAGAGTCCAGTGCCCCAACTACTATGCCACCTGTTGGCCTCCAGAATACCTTTCTTAAAAAATTTCAATGCCTCTATTTATATAGAGAGGCTTATTGTAGAAAAAACATACAGATGAAGAGATGGACAATGACTCTTGGGAAGAATGGAAAGAACAAAGCCGAAGTAGGAAATGATATCCGAAGCGAGACAGTAGACATGTCTCCTGAGGCGGAATTAGTAGACCCATTTTGGCTTACACACTCGGTGGTATCTGAGCATTTTTGTCCCAGGACTCAACTTCTTCAGGAGGGTCTGTGCTTTCCAGCTGAGCTCAGCACTCGTCCAGGAGCTGAGGGCAGGAGACACCTGCCCAGCCAATCAAACGGCCTTCCGTGTAGAGACTCAGGAGGCTGCCAGTCACCCTCATATGCAGGCCTCATTGTAAGGAGGCATTAGGGAAAACGTAAATGGATACTTTATAAAAATGTTTTGGTAATGCCTTATCTTTGATGGCCTCTAAGAACCCTTCTAGGTTGTCTTAGGTGTAATCAACTCACTCAACTTCCCCCAGAAATAGATGAGAGCTCTTGAGAGGTAAGAGAATCAATAAACTGCTGCTTGCTCAAATGCACAGTCTGATGGTGCAGGTCTAGACGAAGCTTAAGACCTTACCAAAGAGAAAGACCCTGGTACAATTACCACACCCCACATCCTAACGCTCTCATAAAGGCATCTAAGAGCCACCCCGTATTCAGACCCCGATTGTGCCCCAAATACGCTTTATAGAGTATATGTTTTATGTCACTCTGGCACTGCCAGAGGCTGCCCTCGTCTCCACTTCTCAGCCACGAACACTCACCCTGTCTCTTACTCTTCAAGCTGTCCACTCCTGTGGCGGTCCGGACTGTCCCACCTGTGGGCGTGTCTGTGGCTTCCTCTCAACCAAATTCATGGTCCCCAGTGTGGGCCACATCCTATGGCAGACACTGCAGCCTTGGTCGTGCACCACCTGAGGGACACAGTGTTGGGGCAGGACAGGCCCTTGGCCAAGGTGGTGGTCATGTGACCTGCCCACCGTACAGGTGCATTTCCCTCCGACATCAGTGAGTCACCTGTGAAGTGACACTGTGAGACTGAGGAGGTGCCCCGTCGACAGGCTGAGTCCTCTTTCTCCTGCATTTACGGAATCGTGGGGCCCTGAGCTTTCTGACCCTGTTCTCGTTTTCCCTACCGTGACAACGGGAGCATTTCATGGGGATGCGAAGGTAGGTAAGGAAGTGCATGGGAGCGTGCAGACCAGCGGTGGGCACCGATGCGTGTGGCAATGATAACGTGGCGAGGCCGTCACGGAGGCCTTAGCTCGGAGTGCACATAGAGGGCAGGCGGCACACGTGCGGGAAACGGGGAGGGTTCCTCAGAGACGTGGTGTTGACCAGAAGAGGATGCAGGGCCGCTCCTGCAAGGCGAGGGCGAAGGCGAGGGAGAAGGCGAGGGCGAAGGCGAGGGAGAAGGCGAGGGCGAAGGCGAGGGCGAAGGCGAGGGCTCCTGGTTCTGGACAGAGACCAGAGCACAGGGGCCCGGTGTGAAGTGAGCAAGCCACCCTTGGGGGACAGAGAAGTCCA